TGATACTACTGCGAGCGCCTTGCCGAACAGTTTGCTTCATATCAGGGCTTTGGCCTGATGATCGTCTAGATTGTAGGAAGCGAGCAGCGTCTTCGCCTGCTTCTCCCAACGGTCATAATCTAGTTCGCTACCACTGAATTCACCAATGAGGTCCTTGAGGTCCTGCCACTTTTTTCACGCTTGCTCGTTCGGATACGTCTCTTTCTTGTGGTGGCGTCATCCTTGCTAACTTGAGTTCCCTTCTTAAAAGCTCGACTAAAAGCTCGCGCTCCGCTAGATCTCATTTCTTCCTCAGCAACTCGATCTCTCTCGCCGATGGGACGGTGCCCTCATCACGTGCACTTGCTCGAAGCTCGTCGTCCTGTAGCACATGATTTCGTTAACACTTGTCCCGCCAATACCAGTTCCTCGTGTGGCACTCCAGCGTTCAGTAGCCGCTTCACCAGATCAGCCTTCTGGCCCGCCGTCGACAAGTTCTTACTCTTTAACTTGTCCTTAAGCTGCACCTCGTTAAGGTGCTCATCGTGACTCGTCGTTCGGGACCGTATCACACTCGTAATTACCATGTCGTCTTCGTTACCTAATCACAATTCGTGATCACAATCACCTTGAACGGGTCAACGTAGACGCGTAATAATGTTCATAAATAGCACATAAAACTTTCTTCTGACATAATTTGTTGTACTCAGACGCGCCGGTGGAATCCTCCCTGGACAGATCAACGTAGACGCGTAATAATGTTCATAGTAGTAGTAGTAGTAGTAGTAGTAGTAAATAGTAAGCGAGTGGTTCCATGACTTGGCCCCCGACGGCACCTAGATCTGGCGAGATTCATTGGTCTCCTCACTCTTGTCTTTAAACTGGGTGAATGTGTACTCAGCCCAGAGTTCTCCACTAGGCTTATGAGTTCCATCACCCTTGTTTTTGTCTAATTCTTGAGATTTAAGAAAACTTTGTCCCCAGATCCTGAATCTCTTTCTAGCCAGAGCCGGACATTGGCACAGAATATGTATGCTGTCCTCTTTTTCCTCCCCGCATAGTCGACACTCTTCCTGTAGATATTGAATAGGTGGGCCCTGAGTATTGGTGAATGTTCTGTCAGCAGTCCTATCCCATCCTCAATTTTCTGCCTATTCAGTGTTAGTAGTTCTTTGGTTCTGTTACCATTTATGTCTTTCATCAGGAATTTAGCCTGTCGGCAGGATTTCAGATTATCCCACCTGGCCTTAATTGTAGTTTGTCTATACTGTCCCTGATGAGTTCTTGCCCATCGTAAAGGGCACTCCATCTCCCGACTATCTGGGTGCTTTGCTAACCCCTTCTCTAGCCAGTGAGTCTGCTATTCGTTTCCCGGTATGCCCTGATGCCCGGGTACCCAGACTAACGTTACTTTGTTTTTCCTGCACAGCTCCTCCAGCGCCAGCATGCAGTCCCATACCAGTATGACTCGGTGTCGCACCCGCCAAATCCAGAAGGGCTGCCCTACTGTCCGTGCAGATTTATATTTTCCTGCAATTTGTTCCCTTGGTTAGGTTCAGTTCGGCACATCTGAGGATGGCGAGCATCTCTGCCATAAGACCGTGCATCGCCTCCCATTGGAATACTCTCCCTATGTTTTTCCCCAGGTCCGTATACTCCTGCTCCAAAGCAATTGTTTATGCCTGCCCGTCCGTGAACCACATGTCCACCTTTGTGTCCATGATCCCGCCCGGTTTCAGCCACTCGTTTCTATCAGGTATCCATAATTTAAAATGTTTTACCAGTTTATACTTTCTTGTGGTTCTGTCTTGTTTTCCCTCAATAGGGTACTTTTGGAGAAGACCTAGCCTGGTGTGTCCCAGTCCTGTGTTTCTCCATTCACCCTGACATTTCAGGCGGTATGCCGTGGTATTGGCTGATTTTATCACGGCCAAGCCTATTGGCGTAACACTGAGGGCTATTTCAAGCGCCTCTGTGGGTGTGGTTCTCATGGCCCTACTGCAGCCCTTAGGTAGTTCCTTGCAGGCTTCTAAGTAGTTTCTCCACCTCCCCTTTATTTATTCTCGTCCACCAGACGACTGACGCGTATAGCAGCCGCGGCAGCAGGACCGCCTGTACAGCCATATGCTGCACCAGCGCTGATGCCCCACGATTTGCTCATTGCCCTTCTGCACATCCACATGGATGCATAGAACTTTTTCCTTTGCTCTATGAGATGTTTTTCCCCAGCTAGCTTAGGATCTAGAATCAGTCCCAAGTATTTCACCGAGTCTGTAAACGGTATTTCCTTTCCCCAGAGTTTTAACGTCTCTATGGGTTCAGGTTTATATTTTCTGGTGAAGACCATAATATTTGTCTTGCTCGGATTAACCGTTAGACCTCTGTTTCTCACCAGTTTTTGCACAATCCTTAAGGTATCCTTTGCTTGGTCCCTTATGGTGTGGAGAAATGGTCCTCTAACCACAATGGCCACGTCATCAGCATAGCCAAAGTCGAGAACCTTTCCTCTGTAGCTCCTTTAGCAGGTCGTCTATCACTAGACACCACAACAGAGGAGATAAACTCCCCCTGTGGGCAGCCTCTCGTTGGTTTTCCTTGATGGAGATATCTTGGCACTCCACCGTCAAGCATCTGTCCACTAGCATGTCTTCTATCCAGTCCACCAGTGGTTCTTGTACTCCATGTCTGATCAGTGCTTCCCCTACCACCTCGTGTGAAGTGCTATCGAAAGCGCCTTCGATGTCCAGGAAGATTCCAATCGCATAGCCCTTTGCCTCCAGCTGACTCTCAACTTTGCCTATCAGGTGATGTAGGGCGGTTTCGGTAGACCTGCCCTCCCTGTAAGCGTACTGAGAGTCGGCTAGAGGTTGTTGTATTAGAGTTGGACTTGAGAAATCTGTCCACCAGTCTCTCTAAGGTCTTCAATACGAAGGACATAAGGCTAATTGGTCTATAGTCCTTTGCCCTGACGTGACCGTTCTTGCCAGGTTTTGGTATAAAAACCACCTTGGTTTCTCTCCACTTTTGGGGACATGTCTGAGGGCAATACTTGCCCTGTAGATTTTTGTCATTGGGCCTAACAAGCTGCTCAGCCCTTTCTGCAGCAGGATCGGGTATATTCCATCAGGTCCTGGAGCCTTTAAAGGCTCGAAGGAACCGACCGCCCATTCCACTGCTTGCGGATAGGCTACTTTAGCTGCCAGTCCCCATGCCCTTGATTTGTGCACGGTCATGGTCTCTGCCTGTGTTGTTGTCTGCTGAGTCCTCTCTAAAGCCTGGAAATGGATTTCCGAGGTGCCGTAGGGTCTCCTCCGCAGTTTCTGTGTACCTTCCATTGGGAAGCTTAAGGCAGCCCCATTGTGTTTGGTTTTCCTTGCGGAGTATTCTACTCAGTCTAGATGCTTCAGGAGCACTCTCTATACTTGAGCAAAAACTTCTCCATCCTTTCCTTTTTAGCTTTACTATGGCCTTTTTGTAAATTCTCTGAGATTTCCTGTACTCCTCCCAGGTTCTCGGTGTATTTACATTTCTAGCCCTATTAAAGTCTTCTCCCTCAGCCCTTAGCTTAGCCAGCTCTTTGCTCCACCATGATGCTTTGGCTGAAGGATTCTTTGACTCTAATGGGCAGTTCATCTCGTATGAGTATTTAATGGCTTCACTCAAGTAGTCTGCCGCCGTTTCCAAATTTTCTTTTGTGTGGAATCTAGTGGGTGCTTCCTTGAGTCGACTCCTAAGGTCTTCCTCGTACCCCCTCCAATTTGTTTTTCCTAGGATTTCTCTTCCATAACCCTTGGCTCTGTACTTGCTCCATGGTGAAACGGACCTGCCTGTGATCTGATCCTGAGGGCTCATCAGAGACCCTCCATCCCCTCAACAGTCCAATATTCCGCCAGAGCATATGGTTATATCTATCACTTCCTGTCTTCTAGAGTCCAGGAAGGTAGGTTCTGTTCCTCTATTCAGGATGTGTAGCTCCATACCTACCACAAAGTTGAATAGGCTCTCATCCCTGGGATTTATGTCGGTGCTCCCCCACACCAGGTGGTGCGAGTTGGCATCGCATCCCAGGAGTATTTCTAGCCTTTCTGCCTTGCATAAGTCGTGAGTTTAATCACGTTTTCATGTGGGGGCAGGTTTCCAAATCGTAGGGCATGTACACTGACCCTATAATTAGATCCCTGACTATTCCACCGGTCGTCTTTATTTTCAGTCTGATGGCAACAAAGTCACCATCGCTAAATTGTGGCAGTAGACAGGCGTCTATTCCTTTCGCTATAATGCACGCTCTCGGTCGGTCCGTGTTTCCGGCCCAGAATAGTTTTCCACAGCTGCCAAGTCCTTTTATATGTCCCTTGATGATCCATGGTTCCTGTATTAAAAATGTATTTACTTGTGTGCATCACTGCTGCGCACCTGGCTAGTACAGCCGAGGCGCATTTGCTGTGATGCAAGTTAATCTGCGTAAAGTGAATCCGGTCCGCCATATTTATGCTGACGGGTCCGGTGATTTCTCCTTTGCGCCTTCCTTACTGCTTTCTCCAGCAGGCAACCTGATCGTTGCCTGCTCAAGTCCACAGTAGGGTTTAAAATTGAGAGCTCTTAACGCCCTCAAGGCCCCATCCCCAACAAGGGCAGCGAAGTGGGTGCTCGTGGCGTCCCTGCTTTCGCTACCCTTCGCGATCACCCAGTCCGGTGACTGGATGCTACGTTCTGCCTGTCAAGTAGCTCCAACGCTTCCTGACAGGTATTGTGGGATCCTCTACGTGCACTACGATTCGGTGTCTCCTAGGGAGCTCATCGACCCGCAGTGCACGCAGTTCGATCCCATTGATCTTAATTTCTGAGGTTAGGCTTCTAAGCCACTCCTCAGTTTCCCTATTTGTGCAGTTGAAGACAACTGCTCCATCCCTATCCGAGGTGCCTCTGAAAGTAGGCGCTTTGGTACCCTTGCTAAGCAAAGGATCGCCTCCTGACCGTTGCTTTCAGAAGCGATGCCTCGTCTTTTTCCAGTCTTTTGTCAGGGTACGCAAGGGAACCAGGGCAACCCTTACAAGACCGGAGGTTAATTGGGCAAAAGTCCTTTGGTCAGTTACGACTTTCGGCCTTTTGCCCAACTGAGTGTTACTGGCAGGGCTGGGTGTGCTATGCTCCGATCTGAGTCGCTTTACCCCCCAGAAGAAGCTCGCTCCCCCGTCCTTGGAGTAACTGTCGAAACAGATGTCAGTTCCGAGGTGGGCTTTGCAGCTTCCCCCTTCGCCTCCATCTGCTTCTGTTTTTTATAGCGTCGCCTTGCCGCTCCGCTATAACGAACCCTAGCATTTGGTGGCTGGGCCTTATTTGGCTCCGCCCCGAATTGCTCGGGCTTTCTCCTCCAGGTCGTTCGTCACCTAAGGTGGCCACACCCTGTAGGACTTCCGAAAGTTATCATTTTGACTTGTACTCATTTTGTTCCCACGAGTACCGCGGCCGCACGGTTTCACCTGGGCAGAGCCGCGAATGCCCAGGGCTTGGCTCGATACTCTCGAAGGTCGCCCGGTATCCGAGAGGCACCGTACGACGTAACTCCCCTTACGCCATGCAGCCTTCAGCACGGTCACACACTTTAGCTTTGGGAGGTTCCGCTTTGTCCGGCGCACACGGTTGCCATCTCCTGAGCGAGCGGCCCCCGAGCGCCCCCTCAAGCCCCTCCACCCGCCCAGCAGCCGGACGAGCCAGGGGGGCCCAGGCTAGTCGGTCACACCCCTGAACGGGTGATATCCTTCCGCCCCGGACCTCCCCCACCCCATCAGCCGCGGACTTCGTCAAGGTGGGAACCCATCGGGGGGAATAATGTTCATAAATGGCACATAAACTTTCTTCTGACATAATTTGTTGTACTCAGACGCGCCGGTGGAATTCCACTTCTGATTTTGTAAGGATCATTACGGGAGAAAGAGGAAGGGAAACTTAGGTACGAGGTAACACGTAAAACTAAGTATAATCTTCTTTATTTGGGCCGAGGGTTACACCGGGACGCGATCTTTACTCGACTAGGCTGAGCTGAGAACTGCTTGACGAGCGTCGAGCTCGTCATTCGTATATTAAAAATCAAAGGGTCGCCGATTTCCGTTAGTCGCTGGTCGGTCCTTTCTTTCGATAAACAAATATTGACCACCCGCTTCATAGCGTTCCGCAGGAGATAGCGGATATGTATACTCCGCCGCGATCGCGCGTAAAAAAACCGAGATGAATATCGTCCGCCGATAAGCCTGCGGTATTTATCCTTGTATATATATAGATCTCACTTACTTGAGCGGTCGCAATTCCGCTACAAAATAATTAAATAGCATCAAGCACACGATCCTAAATGACGCTAAAATTCTCCGTATCTTTTTGTAAATTGATAACATTACTCTGTTTTTACTCTGTTGTACCGGAAGAGCAAAAGTATTAACACTTCTTAAGGGAAAATTAGAGTGCGCGATTAGAGAAAGTGTGATGTCGGTATTGCTCGTTACGCAAAACATACAGTGTCATTGGATTAGAATTACAATAATACAATAATTATAATATAATAATAATAAAAGACGGGGAGGAAAGACCTCTTATAAAGCCCTGCCCAAGGCACGCAGACAAAGTCCATTGTGTCGCCCGACAAAAGCAAAGGCCCACCCTTCCCCAAAAGCGGAGCAGGTCCTATTTTTTGAGCTCTGGACCACCATACTACTGCAACGTATAGCAGCCAAGGCCTAATGATTGCAGAATAGATGCAGTAGACCATCGCCAGTCTGAGACCCCAGGTTTGGCCAAGGCTCTTCTGCACATCTAGAATAAGAAATAGCACTCTTACAGCGGTTCTCTCGATGCTCCTTTTACATCAACTTTCTATCCAGGATGATCCCCAGATATCCGACTCAGCTGGAACAAGTCTGATACTTCCCAAGACAAGGCCCTCGAACTGCCAGCTTGTATTTCCGGGTGAATACAACGAGCTTGATCTTCCGAGAATTAATTGAAAGATCCAAGCCGCTATAACCAACCCTCAACAGTTTTCAAGGGCGCTTTGCGCGATTTCATGAGCATATCAATAAAGGGTCTTCACACAATATGACCAGATCGCCAGCCTATCCCTGCGCGTATATACCTCTATTATTTAGTTCTCTGAGTTCATCGATCACCAGGCACCAGGAGTGGCGAGAGCACTCCGCCTTGCGAGCACCCCATTTTACCCGGCCGCCAACTCTAGAAGAGCCAAGCGATGTTACAATGCGACGCCTGAGCATAGGCCGGATCCAGCCAACCAGTCTATCCGGGACACCCCGCCGCGACGCTTCTCTGCAAATCATCTCATGCGGTGTGTTGTTGAAGGCACCTTCGATGTCGAGAAAGTCCCCACAGCGAAGCCTCCTATCTCAAGCTGGCCCTTAATCTGAAAAACAAGCGCGTTGAGCGCTGTCTCAGTGAAGTAGCTCGCTTTGTACGCGTGCTGGTTGATGTGCAGCGGGTGCCGCCCGAGAACGCTGGAAAAGCTGGTCAATGTCTCTTAGATAGACATCGATCAGCTTTTCCAGCGTTTTAAAAAAAAAGACATTAGGCTAATCTAAAGTTCTTGACTGAGGAAATGTGTTCTTTTCATTTTAGGAATGAAGCTCTCAACATCCGCATTAACGGCCTGATAATCAGTCCGAGCCCCTTCTGAAGGAAAGATTCCATCCGGACCTGCAGACTTGAAAGGTTTGAAGATTCCATAGCCCACTTAACTTTCTCAGGTTTGACACACTGGCCGCCAAGCTTCAGTCTTCTCCACATGCTCTTAAATTAGGCTCCGCAGGCCATGTTTAAAGCTTCTCTTCAGCCTCTCTACCAAAGCCAGGAAAACTGGTCTCCAGCAGATGTACCAAACAACGCTCCCCAGAGACCATCTTCCCTTTCGACCTTTTATATGTTGTTTCTTCAGAGTGAACACTACCTGTGGTGTTACTAGAAATTTCTTTGTCAAGTTGTGTTTAATTATATTCTATACTAATGTTTCACTAGTTTTCCATGTAGTTTTACAACCATATTTTATCACAACAGCTTGAAAAGAACCAATTTAGGGTCGAAACGTTGCATCTTTTTTAATAAAAGAATCTATCAACACAGCCAGTGTTGGTCAATTTAGCTTACTTCACCTTGTATTCTTATTTCTACTTATATCTACTTATATTCTACTTATTTCTACGCTCGCTTTCTTACTATTCGCCGCCATGAGCTCTCTCTCTCGCTCTTTTCTTTCTCTCTCTTGCTTCCCTTTATTAATATCAACCTTATCTGTACCAATTACCGTCTCTTCTCTTCATTTTTTTCTCTCTTTTCGCTCTTTTCGCCATTTCGCCACTTTCGCTTATCTTGCTTCTCTTCTCTTAATCTACGCTTATCCTATTCTTAATTATTCTTATAATTTTAAATTTGATCTTATATCTACTTTTATACTACTCTTATAACTACTCTTGTTTTATTTTTATTTAGACCTCCGCTTCCGCTGTACGATTGTTTCCCTTCTTCTTTCCTCTCTCTTTTCTCTTTTTTCTCTCTTTCCCTCATGCACCTCCTTTTTCTCTCTTACTTTTTCTTTTCTCCCTCTCTTCTCTCCTTTTTCTCACTACCCCTAGCTTTCTCAACCATTTCTCTCCTTTTCCTTCTTCTCTAATATCCTTCCTTTCGCTTCCTGCCAGCTCTCTTCCTCCTCTTCCTCTCTATCTCTGCACCTCTCCCATACATACTCTGATCATGTTTTTCCTCCCCCTTCACATAATCTACAACTTCTCTTCTCTTTCCCTTCCCAGTACCACTCCTCCCTCATTTCATTTCCCAGTCTAAATTTTATAATCAAT